GTTTCTAGGGTATCTCGCCCCACACCTTGCACTTTGCTTATCCTATAAGCTTTCGAGGGACAAAAGCCAGACCCAGGGCCCACGGGCTCAGAACTGGGCTAGTGGGAGGGACAAGGACTACAGGAGCCTAGATTAGGGCACCCAGAGCTCTTCCCAAGGAGTTAAGAAAATGTCCTAGGGAGGGGCATCATAAATGGGGCTTTGACGTTTGAGCAGGAGTTTATAAGGCGGGCGGGCACCCAGGCAGAGTTTGAGCCCCACGGGAAAGCGATCTCCGGGGTGGGCCAGGCAGGGGGCGCAGCTGTAAGCAGGACAAAGTTCTTGGAAGCTGAAAGACTTAGGAGCAGGGGCCTGGGTCCAGAGCGACTCGGCCATCACTGACTTTGACTGAGCGGCTTGAGCCTAGGGGTCCTCGTCTGCAGCCCCCTTCATGGTGGCCTCGGGGAGCTGAGTACACAGAGTGCCAGGAGGCGGGGAGCAGAGTGGCCTGGTGGGGCCCGGGGTAGACAGTGCCGGGGAGCAGGTCTGAGCTCAGCAGATGGTCCTGGGTCCTGAGAGGCACCTGGGGACCGTCACTCAGTCTGACCCTGAGGGATCTTACAACCTGAGAGGAACCAAGCCTGCACCAGATGGAGTTTCAGAAACAGGAAACAGGAAGCAGGATGTGGCTTGAGACTTGCCCTTCGCTTTTTGATCCTCCTTCCTTGTCTGAAGAGGAGGGGGATGGCTGGCTAGGCCAGGGCGGGGAGGCGCTTCCCCATCTTGCAAGCTCCTACTCACACCTCAAAACCCCATTTATAATATCCCCTCCCGTCCTCCTGTCCTCGGTTTCTTCATATGTTAAAAAAAAAGGGGGGGAACCCTGGAGCTGGGGCACCTTCCTGACTCCACAGTGGGTTGGGGGGAGGGGAGGGAGCCATAGCCCCACAGAAGGTCAAAGCCGATGGCAGTGTCCCCACCATCCATGTGTGTGCAGGGCTGGTGGCCTTGGTCCCCCCAGAGAGTCTTGTGTGGCCACGGGGCTGATGGTGTGGGTGCCATCTGCAAGCCCGGAGCTGCTGTCTGAATGCCACCATCTGCTGCTACCTCCAACACACTGGCTTATCGAGGCTTGGGTCCCCGCCCATCTGATAAGCGGCAGGAACATGGTGCCTCATGCTGCCTTGAATTTGTTTTCCTGGGTCCTGAGTCAGGCCGGGCACCTTTTAAAACACAGGAGGCATTTTTCTTGGGAGTGACCGCCTGATTGCCCTGCCCTGCTTGTGTGACACGCGCCTATCTCAGGAGGGTGCGTCCCAACAGAGCGGGCAGGGACCCATTAAACTGGCCAGCCCCAGAGGGCGTGGTGTCATTCAGCTGTTTACAGCTCTCTGGTCTCCCCCGTTTGGGTGGCTCCCAATCTCTGCTCTGCCACAGTGACCAGTCGCACGGTGCTCTGTCAAGTCCCCTGGTGGGCTTGTGTGTGCCAGTCTCTGAGGCGAGCCAGGCCTGCGTCACACACCTGTCATCCCAGCGACTTAGGAGCTGAGGCAAGAGGGTCCCGACGCCAGGTCAGCCCCGTCAACCTGGGGAGACCCCGTCTCAGAGCTGAGAACATCTTTAAAAGGGCTGGAGATGGGGCTCAGTGGCGGAGTGCCCCCAGGCTCCATCCCCGTACTGAAAATAAACAAATAAACTGAAATTCACACAACAGAAAATTGACCGGGAGGGGCTGGGGATGTGGCTCAAGCGGTAGCGCGCTCGCCTGGCATGCGTGCGGCCCGGGTTCGATCCTCAGCACCACATACCAACAAAGATGTTGTGTCCGCCGAAAACTAAAAAATAATAAATATTAAAAAAAAATTCTCTCTCTCTCTCCTCTTTTTAAAAAAAAGAAAAAAGAAAATTGACCGTGAACTTGCCCCGCGGCGCTCAGGACATTCAAAATGTAGGGCTTCCGACTCCCTCTAGGACACGTTCACCTCCCCAAAGGAGACCCCCACTGCATTGGCAGGCCCCGGTTCTGTCTCTGGACTCTCAAGTCAAGGGAGTCACACCCTTGTGGCCTTTTGGGCCTGGTTTTTGTCACACAGCGTCATGATTTCAAGTTTCATCGTTGTTGTGGCCTGGTCCTTTTACAGCTGAGTGACCTTCCCCTATGTGGATGGACCAGCTCCTTTATTCCTCCGCCCTGAGGTGGACACACTGGTCCTCTGGCCACTGTAAATGGTGCTGCCCTGACCGTGGGCACAAGGGTCTGCTGGAACACCTATGCTGGATTCACCTGGAATTGCCACTAGGAGTGGCCCTGGAAGAAGGTGGACTCTCACGTGGGGGGGGGAGAGACCTACCCCATCGCTCTTTTTCATCTTTGTTTTTTTTTTGAGCCCAGGAGCGGTTAACCACCGGGCCACACCCCCAACCCTTTTCCCTTTTTATTTTGCTGAAGAGTCTTGCTAAGTTCCTGAGGCTGGCTTTTGATCCTCCTGCCTCAGCCTCCAGAGCCGCTGGGATTCCCGGCATGCCTCACCAGGGCAGGCTACTCACTCCCTGCTTTTGATCCCAGATCTCTGACTTTTGTGTCCAGGGTCCCCTGGACGCACCTGTTTGGAAGGGCCAGGATTTGGGTGTCTACCCTCGAGGCAGCAGGGGACAGGGTTCTGAGGACTCAGCCGGCTTCCTCTACTTACAGTGGTTCTGCACGTTTCCGGGGCAACCCAGGAAAGGGCCCCTTTCGGGTGAAGGTGGGGAATGGGCAGGGACCTCCCACAGGAAAGAATGTGACAGGTCCTTCCTGGGGCCCCATGGGGTGTCCACAAGCTCCTAACCGAAGTCCAAGTGTTTATCTCTGCAAGGAAGGTGTGTATCTGGAGCCCCTGATGTCCTGGGGCCCCTATGGGGCAGCCACAGGTGACACCATCTCTCTTTGCAATCACTTTGCGCCGAGCAGAGTTCACTCCCCAGCTCTGTCCCAGCTCTGCCCCAGCCAGGCCCCTCACCCTTCCTCTCAGGAAGCAATGGAGATGGGAGGACGACGCAGGATGAATGGAGCCTACATACACCTGGACCCTCACCCCACAGCTCCTGATCCCAACATTCCAATCCTAGAAACTTCTACAGACCCTCGAGGCAGCAGGGGACAGGGTTCGAATCCTCCCCAAACCCAGCCCCCCCCATCCCAAATCTGACTTTCCACTTCCAGAACCTTTTTGAATGTCAAGCCCGCAACCTCCGGAAGTCCGGGGGAGGAGGTGCGAGGGACAGGTTTCTGGGGCTTCTGGAAGCTTCCAACCCTCTGCAGAGACCCTGGAGCCCTGGGTCCAGCCTGCCTCCCAGCTCATCATTTCTTCATTGAGCACACGATGGGCCAGCGCTGCGTGGGGCCCTGAGCCGGGGGACTGCGCGGGGCGGCGGCCACCTCCAGCCGCGGGGAGCCCCAGGCCGCGCC